CATTTTTGAAATTTTATATAAAAAGAGTATTTTTGTTACATTACTACACCTATAATAAGTAAACCTATAAAGCTTGTTATTGAAAACAAAAATAGTATTACATTTTTTTCAAAATATATGTTTGATTAAATGCTGTATTAAGTAATTAAAATTTTTGCGTTTTTTTTTCAAGACAGTATAAGCGCTTTACAATTTCTATATTCTGTTCCAGATAACAAAAATACCAAAATTATTGATTTTTTTAAATTATGCTCTGTGCAATTTTTAGTGATTTTCTGTAATTTTATATTTTTAATAAAGAACTACTATATTTTAATAATTGGCAAATTGAATTTTGGATGATTTAACTAATTTAATCAGTTGCCAAATCAGAGCTAAAAGAATTTTTGATATATTATGCGTAAATAAAAACATGTCAAATTGTGTTTTATATATCAGACATATATTATTCCTAGTTTTAAATAGCATTAATTATTCATTTATTATTGACCAAGACCAAGAACAAGACTTACTTGTTATCTTCTTCAGCCTTGCCAAAAATAATCTCATGCACATCCACAATTTTGATATAATATAATATTGCAAATATTCGTGTCTAAAAACATGAATGTTGAAGACAAATTAATCCCAGTTTTGAATTACATTCATTCATTTTTATTAATAGTTATTAAACAAATCTTGACTCAGATGTTGTATTCTTTAATAAAACTTTTCAAAATATGATTTAGTGTAATAATACTTTTGATACATTTCAAATATTTTTATATATTGAAACATTTCTGTTAATGAAGTATATTTGTATATATGAGTTATAGAAAAAAATATTAGAAAAAAAATTGATATGTTAGCTAAGATTAACAATCTTTGTAATATTTTCATTTGCATATATAGTTCTATTTCTGAAAGTGGAAATGCCTTACTCAAGGGTTTTATTAATCCTGTGCTAGTTTTTTTTTGTTTATAATTATTTATAATATAATTTATATACATATATATATATATATATATATATATATATAAACCTTTATTTCGAAAATGTTCATATTAAGGACTACCCTAATATACATACAAACTACCGAATCGATTTTAAAAAATCAAAAACTATTCGAAAAATACTAGTTGGGAATGATACTGATTAGTTTTAGGTAAAAATCTACCGAGCCGTTTCCTTCTAATTAACTGTTGAAAAAAAATTTAAGCCGATTTTTATGGAATTTTTTTTGGCGATGTATATCATGATCTTATAGAACTACTGAAATATTACGACCTTACGACAAGTAGTTTAATATTAAAAATTTATCAAAGGTTGAAAAAATGAGTAATTTCTTTGACATTTGTTAAAATTAAAATTAAACGATTTACGTGGTAACGATAGAGTACTTGGTCTTAATGAACATGCTAAACAATTAAAGTCCTACAAAAACTGGCTCAATTATAAAAATTATTGATTTTTGAAAATTTGCTTTTAAAAAATGTTCCGACCCGGGTTGACGTGTTCGATTTTTAATAATGTGTAATAAATTCACTTCGAATACTTTTAACTACTCATAAATTAATTTATATATCATGGATTAAGTCGATTATTTACACATATAGGGAAGTTCATGTAACTTGCCTCAAGGCAAAATACCAATACCAACTAGTTATAATATTTATCCATAGACATTTTTGTTGATTGATTCTTTTTATTCTTCGAATGTTTAATTACGGAACGGGAAGTTCCAGCAACTTGCCTTACGGCAAGATGCCATGTGCCCCACTAGTTTTATATTTATATTATAATTAACTTCCCGTAGGGCAAGTTATAGTAATCGCAAAAAAATCGAAAATGAAAATTTTGATATATCTTTACGTTTCAAAGGTTTCTGAATATTTTGGCATACCTTAGAAAAAATGGATGTATGTGTGTGTGTGCGTCTGTCTTTGTATGTGCGGATACAAATTTTCGTTGACGATTTCGGGAACACGGATGAAGCGATAATTCAAAAAACATTCGATTCATATTGACAAGGAAACGTGCTGATTAGTTTTTGGCGAAGGCAGGTCTAGCCGTTCCGAAGATATGGGGCAAAAAAGCCGAAAGGTCTCTGTTTTTAAGAGAACGTAGCGTCCGATTTGAATAATTCAGAAAATATTTGATTTATATTAACTGAGTGAAGAACTGTTCAAATTTTTGGAGAGGCAGGTGCAACGACTTCGGAGATATGGAGGAAAAGTAAAAAAATGAGCCATTTGGCGGTCAAAAATAAACATTAGGCATATGCACATCAAATAATTAGATATTTTATAGAAATTTTAACAATAAGTATAAATTTTGTTTGCATTCCTATGGGTTCCGTACCAATGTTTATGGTACGCTTAGATAATGCGCTTATGCGCTTTGATATTTCGTCTCCATGATGCAGTTAAAGTAGTACGATTGCTTTGAAAAAAAGTTCAGAATTTGCAAAATATTTCAAAATAAATGATCTAATTGTAAGATAGAATGATTTAATATGGTTCGAAATTCTATTAAAAGTTTCAAATCATTGATCAACTTTTATTGATTATTATTATTGATTATTTTTAATTACTCGAATTTTGAATTGCGGTATGGGAAGTTCCAGCAATTTGCCTAATGCACGATGCCTTAATTGCCTTAAGACAGAATTCCACTTACAGCTAGTTTATATTCGTACACAGCAACACAGTAAATATTTCTCGGCTTGATACGTGTTGATTGATATCAAGTGAAATGGGGTTTCAAGGCTTTATTCCAGTTGGCATATCATTATGTTATTTTTGTGTTGGTATTTATTGAATTTCTTCATTTCTTTCAAGATAAATGTGTAGCCATGGCCGGTAATCTCGGAACAAACGTCTGTAACCCGAGTTTAGTTAGAGCCCCTGCCGCCGGTCGCGCTTGTTTTTTTTTTTTTATTTTTTTTTCACTTTGAAATCGAATTTGACATATGACAGATACTTAAATTAAACATGGCGTCCATTGTAATAAATTTTTCATGGAGAGATAACCTAGACAATATAATAAATGCTTGTTAGAGTAAAAAACAAATAAGCTGTCGAAGTGCATTGTTTAACGAAGAAGAAATACCAAGAAAAATGCATGTATTATGTAGTTCCAGCGAGAAACGACGAAGTAAAAGTAAAATAAGTAATAATATTTGCCGGCTTTCAATCTAAGTGAGTACTTTTATTAATATGCATACTTCGAATTACTTTCATTTGATTGTACTATTCTGATATGATTTTCATTACAGTTTAATAATTCAGAAATAATTGAGACATTTAACTATATCAATACTAGAAATTTTAAGGTTATAAATAGACAGAGAGAATTCCTGTCAGCTCTCTGAAAGGTATGTTATTAAATAACTAAATATAAATTAATCTTGTTCTAATAATGTAGGATCATAACTAATAATTCTACATCGATTTTTTCAGCAGTATAAAAGGAAAATACGTTCAAATGTAAAATGTTTAGACGGTTTACTAAACACATTCACAAGTGTACAAGTATTGATATGAGATGAATGAATACACAGGAAAAAACAATAAGAATGAAGTCTGAAATGTGCTGAAATCTTTGCTGATCTCCCACTAATATTGAACAGTACGACTCGTAATTATATATTAAGTCAGTTTGGAGAACATACTAAAAACACTAATGATATAATCGTAAGTGAAAGGAAATTCTCAATAAATGGTGAAATTCTAGCTAGTGCAAGGTTAATTTAGGTTTGGCTATGTCACAGGAAAAGTTTTTAAGTATTAATAATTTCATTTTGATATTACAAGAAATATTATTATCTGTGTTGTTTAATGATGATAAAGGGAATCACATTGTATAGATTTTCAGGAACTGTCAAATGACAGGCAAAGTATAATCATGATTAATGATAAAATTCTAAAAAGCAAAGGGATAAAACACCCTTAATGTGCACTTGCTTATTGCATTTGACTATCTGAAAGAGATGTCAATAGCTTTACTCTAAAATGTCTTATTGTAGATGCTATAAGAAAACTATTAAGTACTGTTATAATAATATCAATGATTGTTGTTTTTCTTTAAGACAATGATAATAATGACATTTTGAACAAACATTTGAATGCACATTAACAATAGCGCAGAAAAGATTCCCAAATAGAGACTGTACATCATAGATATTATGTAACTTAATGTAATCAAAATAAATATATATGTAATATATATATATATATATATAATATATATATATATGGTTATATATTGATCTGAATCATATCAATCAAAGAATTGTGGTTATATATGTATATGTATATATATAAATAATATATACATTCATGTACATTTCTATTCTTTTTGTGCTCAGCTTGAAAGGCTGATATGCTAAAATGATATACACACACACATATATATATATATGTATATACTATATATATATGTATATATCTATATATATATATATATATTTGTATATATATATATATACATTGTGGATAGCGTGTACATTTAAGTACATTTTATGCTTTTCGCACATAGTTTTTACAGCTTACTACCATCTATATAATCATATATAATGTTATATATATATTCTATATATTATATATATATATATATATATATATACATTGTGGATAATGTGTATATTTATGTAATTTTTATGCTATGTGTGCTTTGTTTATAAAGAGAACTATGTAGATATAATGTAGAATGTTTTTGTGAAAATAAATGCTTCAAAATTTTTTTTTTTTTCAATTTTTCTTTTTTAAATTTTGAATTAAAACGGTCCATATAATTTTGGTTCATTTCTATAGTATTTTTTATACGCACCCGTTCAGGCGACTAGTGCCATCTGTAGCGCGGGCTTCAAACTAACACAGGAATGTGGCAACGAATATGGCCCGAGAGAGCGATCTATATACTCTTCTTTTATCTATGTGTGTAGCTAATATTTTCTGCAATACATATCAATATATACATATCGATAATATCGATAAATCTATTTGACATTGACAACAGCGCCTCGTGTGGTTTTGGGCTAACTTAACCTCACTTTGTGGATGTCAAAGTCTGTGTGGAAAAGAAGTTAAGTTGAAAATTTACGCAAAAATGGTGAAAAAGAAAGCAGGTACGTGTTAATTGGTAATATATTTTCAATAATGAACTATTTTTTAGTTACATTTTTATCATAAACGACAATTCTTCGTGTGTCTGTCGAATTCCAGTCACCTATCTATAATTTATATTTTCTTCTTAGAATTGTGTTCCAATATATTTATCATCAAAAATTGAGTACTGAAATTTGAAAAATTTACTTTAATAATTCAATTAAATACAATTATTGCTTGTTAGTAATAAAAGAATAAGTAAATTTCTTATTCAATTGTGTTCGAGTTTAATAAGATCTACTTCTGGACCTAATGATTACGTTGACTGCTTACAGAATTATTGAACATCAGTCGCGAGGAACGCATGGTTATAACTATAGGTGAAATTATCCAAGAATTAGTTGCTGCTCATGACGCAGGCAAGGATGTGAACTTGAATCGTATGAAATCTAGAATTTCTTCGAAGTATGGTTTAGATAGCTCGCCCAGACTTGTGGATATTATAGCTGCTGTACCTAGTGAACACAAGAAAACTTTGTTGCCTAAACTTCGTGCTAACCCATTCGAACAGCTAGTGGGGTACGATTTTTTTTCAATTTAATATAATTAACAGTGGTAAGGACATTCTGAAATGTGCATTTTTAAAAAGCTCAGAAGGAGAAACTAGGTTTTGCAACAAATGCAAGCTTCTTCTTTTCACTGTCGAATCTTTTTCTCTGTTTTTAGCAAATTAGTATTAGTACTTGCATACATGAAGTAGAAGTTAGAAGTAAATCTTTTTTAATTGATTGAAATAACTAGCAGTGGTTTTAATTGAAATAATTACATACATCGATAAGTATTTACCCAAAAAACATGAACATCATCTTCAAAATAAACTATGGAAGGCGTTTCGAACTGATTACTGCGACAAGACTGACAATGACACTTAACATCATACGACAGGTTTAGGATCACAGCTATCTTCATGTTATACAATCGTGGAGGAAACGTTACTAAAACTAGCCAAATAAGTCTTTTGTGACCTTTTATCCCTATTTTCCCAATTTCTTGCTCTTTGAACATCACCGCTGTGATGGAACTTAAAAATCTTAAACTTTTTGATGCTTTGTATATTAAGTACGAAGCATTCCAATCAAATATTCTGATTGAAGATTTTCAATGTTCATATTTTGGAGAAATTTTTATTTTCTTTTGTAGATTGCAGTTGTAGCTGTGATGTGCAAGCCACATCGTTGTCCTCATATTAATATGACAGGTAACATATGTGTCTATTGTCCTGGTGGTCCAGACAGTGATTTTGAATATTCTACTCAAAGTTATACTGGCTATGAGCCAACAAGTATGAGAGCTATTAGAGCAAGGTACAATCCATATTTGCAGACACGACATCGAATAGAACAGGTAATAACATTTATCTGAATTTTGCACAAGTATATTCGATTTTGGAAAATAATCATCTTTGCTTATCTTTATTTTTTCTAAACAATCCTAATTATAGATTGAAAAAAACAAGTATAATTTTAGGTTTTTAAAATTTTTGTCTAGGTTATTGAATTGTTTAAATATTAAAATACTCACCATTTTAACTTTTTTATTATTAAAACTACATGCTACAAGTAAAACTTTGTTGAGCAAAATCAAGATGTGTTAAATTGATTTTAGTCAATTGAATAATTACAAATGCAAATGCTTTGCTTATCTTTATTTTTTCTAAACAATCCAAATTATAGTTTGAAAAGATAAGTAATAATTATAGGTTTTCTAAATTTTTGTTCTAGGTTATTAAATTGTTTGAATATTAAAATACTCACCATGTTTTACATTTTTTTTATTAAAACTACATGCTACAAGTAAAACTTTGTTGAACAAAATCAAGATATGGTAAAATTGATTTGTCAATTGGATAATTACAAATGCATATTCATTATAAGTCTATAGATTAGATCAAATTATGACTTCAAACAAATTTATACCTTTATAGGAATTTCGATGCATAAAAAGCAATTTGTCTGAAAAGAATAATATGTTGATAAAAGATAATCCAGCTGTTTCCAACCTGTGGGGCGGTTACCTTCAGGCTTTTCTAAGGGAGTCACATCTGTTTCCAGAATACTATTATCAAAAATAACCAACATTTTTGGAACGATATTGAAAAATAAACAAAAAATAATTAGTTTTTTATGCTTTTTTATATAATATTGCATATTAACTTGTAGTCTGATAATATCAGTTGACTATTTACAAAATTAAATAAATTGAAAAAATTAAGCTAAATTAATTAAAAATTAAATATCAGTTGATTATTTATAAAATTAAATGCAATGAAAAAATTAAGGGGGGCGCAACAACAATTTTTTTCATTAGAGCAAGGAGGCGCGGTGCAAAAAAGGTTGGAAACCACTGGATTAATCTACATCGCATTATCTACATATCAGTCGCGTTTTGTAAGATTTGCTAAATTTTTAGATTGATTGCATTTTAGCAGTTCCAATGGTTTGAAGTATTGCTTTGTAATTTTTATGTGAAAGTTTATTTAGTACAGTCAACCCTCCGTTAACACGGCACTCTGGGAACACGGTTCCTATACTTTGCGGAGCCAAAAATCCGACATCCCGGCGATAACACGGACTCCATATAACACTAATCTTGCTCAACTGGCGCGAGTTTCTTCGGCGCAACCTATGAATGAACCTAGTAACTAAATATGGTTTGTTTTAATATAGTTTTATCGACTATTTTATCTTTTACAATATATTTATAAAAAACGGATTAATTAGTGTTATAGCTTTTTAAAAATTGGTCATTTAAAAAAAAAATCAGCTTGAAAAAATTTTTGCTACAAAAGTTTTTTTAGTTTAGCTTTTGTTTAATTTTTTATCATTTCCTAACATAAACCGTTCAATTCAATCAAAACAATTCATGTTTTATGATGTAAATTATGAAGTCATAATAGAGTCTTGGTCTCCATAGAGCGCAAAAAAAATGCTGCAACTTGTACTAACTCTGAGTCTCTCATAGCACGGTCCCATACAATATTTATAGCAAGTTTCCATAGAACGCACTACGAATTAACCCGGATGACAAATTAATTCTGTGTCAAATCCGAGATTTTTTATAGCACGGTTCCCCTACTACACGGTACGCACTTCCCGCGTTAACGGATTATTGATGGTACATGTATGTTAATTATATATATATATATTAATATATATAGATATATAATATATATATATATATATTATATATATAATTATGTGACTATACTTAAAATTTCAATTTAGATCCATCATATTATATAGTTTTAACTACACAATTTATGTCAACAGCTTAAGCAATTAGGACATTCAGTTGATAAAGTTGAATTTATTGTAATGGGCGGAACTTTTGTCTTTGCCTGATACATATCGCGATTTTTTCATTCGAATCTTCATGATGCTCTTAGTGGACATACTAGCAACTCAGTAGAAGAAGCTGTTAAGTGAGTTAGTTTGATTTGAATGATATTTTTTGAAAATTAATTGAGATTGTTCAAAAATCCTTTGGTTAGAAATAAATATTCATTATTTTCATTACAACTTATTAATAATAAACAAATAATTATTTCATTATATATGTTTCATATAAATGAATGAGCCTGAAAATGTTACAATTAACTTTCATTTATGCATTTTAGATATTCCGAAAAATCGAAAGTGAAATGTATTGGTATAACTATAGAAACAAGACCTGACTACTGTTTGAGAAAACATTTATCAGATATGCTTCAGTATGGCTGCACGAATTTGAAAAGAGTATATTAAACATCTGATTCTATAATTACAGAAGGTGACAGTGCAGGATAGCTACCCTTCACGCGCTGTCATATCAAATTATTTGTAAAAGTAGCTGAATGAACTTATTGTATAGTTTGCTACGTAAAATAAAACATAATAAAGAGTATTAGGGTTGGGCAACTTTCAATAATAATAAATTACATTTTAAAGTGAGATTTAAGTTCTTTCTTCTAGCCCAAAAATCTGAACTAAAATTATATCAGAAGTATTCAATGACTGAACACGGGATAAAAATTCATTAATTATTAATTATCATTAATTTATTCATTTTTTTATGTATTTTCCTTTCAAAACTTCTGCTTCCATGCTACTTGATCCTGCGCTTCGGCTTCCAGTTTCCAGTACTTTCTTTTATCACGTAAGTGGTCAATCAACTGCATTCATCTTCTTAACATTCTTTTCAGTCTTCCTATTTTACCTTCGCCTACGTCATGTTATTTGGCACTCTTTTTGCAAAACGGGTCCGATCCAGCTTTCTTTCCCTTACAGGATTGTGCTCAGTAAAGTCATTTCTTCAAAGGACTCCTTCATTTGTTATATTGTGCTATCTTGTTCGCTTCATCTTTTCCATTCGCTGCCAGCACCACATTTGAAAACTTTCCAGGTAGTCCTGTCGGTCTTTCTTAGATATCCATATCTCTGATCCAGACAGAGCTTATGCTCCAGACAGAGCACTTTATTAGACTCCTCCGCAAGTCGAGTTCGTGCAGTATCCGTCCATGGTCGGGATGATTTCCAGTTATTTGAAATGATCCACATCTTTCTATTCTCGATTATCCTCAGGGGGTCATCTCTTGTAATTTTCATCACGTTTGACTTGTAGTTGTTGATTTCCATTCCGTATCTTCTCTCTTCGCTCATGTGCTGCTCGATCCTATTTTCGAGTCGTATCGTAAAGATTTTGACCAGTACCTTTTTTGTGTGCGACGTCAAAAAGGTTGCTGCACTTGTTCGTTATGGGCTTTTTATGAAGAGCTATCATTGTGACAAGTAGAAAGTCTTTTGGCTATATGCCCGTTCCCTATATTTGGTTCAACAATTTGGTCCAGGTCAGTAGATATGTCGTATCACGGTCCCTTCCTCCATTTCTTTCTCTTCTTTGATGTCAATATTCTCATGACAATTTTTCAATGTATTTTTCCTACACATTTTTTGTGTACATATTAATGCAGCAACGATAGTATAACAGTAGCGACTGACGAACTTCATTTAATACTAATTATAACAAAAAAGGTATGCTACAGAATCATGTAAATTATTGAAAATGTGTGGTGAAGGTGAGTGATAGGAATTGCAAAAAATGGTACTTAAAATTTGAAACAGGTTTTTCGACCTTTATGGTAAGCCAGATTCAGGCTAGCATTTTTGATAGACCATGATGTTGTTTTCAAGCAAGATTCTTTTCTGACAACATCGGAGATGGCAGAAAATCTTATTATATATGTTTTTTTATATATATATATTATATATTATATATGTTTTTTATTTAGGTGTACAATCTGTATATGAGGATATAGCTAGAGATACTAATCGAGGACATACAGTGCGTGCCGTCTGCGAGAGTTTTAACATGGCCAAAGATGCCGGATTCAAGGTAGTTGCACATATGATGCCCGATTTACCAAATATGGACTGGGAGAGAGATATCGAGCAATTTGTGGTGAGTATGCACATGTAAAAAGTCGAACTGTGAACTCATTATTTAGGAACCTTCTTTTCTGGATTTTACTCATTTATTGTTTTGCACATCGACTTTGATGAGAGAAAACATCATCTTTGCTATTTATATTATCATGTAAACGAATATTTCAAATCGTCAATTATTCAATGACTTGCTATCTGTATTAATTATATAATTGTATAAGAGGAAAAAGGGTTTAGTTATTACTGTTGACATCCAAAATTTATTAACACTTATTTTTGTTGAGTAGGAATTCTTTGAAAATCCAGCATTTCGAGCTGATGGTCTGAAAATTTATCCCACATTAGTTATTAGAGGAACAGGTTTATATGAACTGTGGAAAACTGGACGTTATAAAAGTTACCCTCCAAGTGCTTTAATAGATCTTGTCGCCCACATCCTGAGTATTGTACCACCTTGGACAAGAGTGTATCGCGTGCAGAGAGATATACCTATGCCACTTGTGAGGTAAACAATAAAAATAATTAGAACCATATATCAAGTTTAAATAAAATATTTTAATTATTCATTCAAGCAAATCATTTTTAGTCACTACAATAATTTATGTAAGGGTTGTATTAGATATGTTCATATTAACTTCCTGAAGGAGAAGTTTTTCTCGAGAAAATCCGTTTTTTTAATTTTATGTTGTCGATGTTTGAAGTCATTCTGAGTCGAATGAGATCAAATATTGAAAAAGTTTGTGTGTGTGTGTGTGAGCATGAGTTAATTTTTTACCTTTTTTACCTTTTTGTTGAAGTTTTCTCAAAAAAACGGCTGAACCGATTTTAAATATTTAAAAGCCATTCGATGTAACTAAATAAAGACAAGCGTTGATCAGTTTCGCGCGACGAACATTCAGAAACTGTTTGAAAGATATTGAGTTAGGATGGGAATCGTGCTGATTAGTTTTTGGTCAAAATCGGCCGGGCCTTCTAATCAATTGTTAAAAAAAAGATCATTTTAGTTCTGGTGTAGAGCATGGTAATTTACGAGAACTGGCATTGGCGCGCATGCAAGATCTGGGCACTACATGCAGAGATGTCCGAACTAGGGAAGTAGGAATTCAAGAGATTCATAACAAGGTAATATCGTTTTTATTTTATTTATTTTAATAGGTTTTGCTAAAAAAAAATACCTAAATTTATCAATTCAATTAACAATGCATTAATATTGTAAAACTATTATGTATAGTTTATTCAACTATATTTTTATCTGTAGGTGAGACCTTATGAAATTGAACTAATACGACGAGACTATGTGGCGAACGGTGGCTGGGAGACATTTCTTTCATATGAAGACCCTGAAAGTGATATTCTTGTGGGATTACTGCGTCTTCGCAAACTTGATGAACAGTTTGCATTTAGGCCAGAGTTCAAAGGTAGCAGATGCTCCATTGTACGCGAATTGCATGTATATGGAAGCGTGGTTCCAGTGAATGTTAGAGATCCCACCAAATTTCAACATCAGGTTTGTTAATTAAAATTACAGCCATGTAGATACAGCAGCACATTATATAAAAATGTGGAATTTTTAAAATTATTTGATTATTTCTTGTTTAACTTTCCGAAGAAGTATATTTTTGCCAGATTTAATAAATTTATGTATTCACGGCGTTTTAAATCATTCTTAATCGTTTGACAACAAAATTGGACATAGAATGTGAGTATGTCCAATTCAAGAGATTCATAACAAGGTAATATGGTTTTTATTTTATTTATTTTAAAAAAATTACATAAATTTAACGATTCAATCAATAATGAAGTTTTATAAGAACTCATGTTGATTAGTTTTGTGCAAAGCAACCATTTTTGACTGCCTCTACTGTAAATCCAGCACTGTATATATATATATATATATATATATATATATCACATCTACATTATTTTAATACCCTATACTAATATTTATACCGTTCAGTTAAAAATAATGATTATTGGTTTTCGAATTACTATTTACACCAATATATGAGTGATGTTGAATGTAGAACTGTTTCAAATAAAATGATTATTCTCCATTCTCACAGTTAACACTTTAATTATCCATTTAACAAATATTAAAAAATGTTCAATAAAATTGTATATTAAAAATTATACACTGCGATTTATAGAACAAATTTATTTCCAATAGCTCAATTTATTTTATTGCATTTAAGGGTTACACAGTATTTTTAGTCATACCTGTAGATGTCGATGTATAAATGAATGATTTTTTGTTTATTCACGACTAAAAATTTGATTTTTTGTGTGAATGTATCACACAAAAAATCATTGCCTGCCTTTGTGATTTATGGTCATAGCATAGATACACATGTTGAAAATTGAAATCTTTTAAAAAGTATAACAAATTCAGATAAAATTAATATATATTATGCGCGGTAAAGGTACAATATCACCTTGGATTTTTCTACCCAAAATAATTGCTTCAATAATGTTGCCTATAATTTTTATAATTTCGTATCATATTTTAACTGGCTTTTGGTATTTTAATATCTAAATTACATTTTTCTCACTAATAATTCAATATACATTATTACTTAAGTTCATATTTGAAGTGAATTAATTTGTCACAATCCTGTTCACATGTGCTTTATTCAACCTCCTATCAACAAATAATAAACAACAATAATTAGTCAGAAAAATACCTCGAATTTTCATATATATATATATATATATATATATATATAATATATATAGTATATATATATATATATATATATATATATATATATATATATATATATACTATTGTACATGTTCTTTTAGAGATATTATAAGGAGAAATTGGTTGTTTTTTTAAATGGATTTTTTTTCATGAAATCATGAGTTTTTTGAAAATCGTTTGTACTAAAGTTGTGGTATTTTCTAGAATCCATTAAGATCTCTTAAACTGAGTTAATTCTAGATGGAATACGATTATTTTTAATTTTGGTGGAAATGACACTCAAACTATTAATGAAAAAACATTGTATGCGTCTTTTATTTGCGTGATAGTTTACTTATTCTATCCACGAAGAAGTATCCATTTTAATGCTTATTTTGAGCACTATAAAAATCCATTTTCATATTCAAATGGCAAATAAAATTATTTTTTATATTTAGGCTGTGTAAACTGGGTAATTTTCTGAAAATATTTCGATGGTTGATCGTTCGATATGTGATATGTGCTATAAAAAGTATATTGTTAAGTATTTACAGTATAATTACTGCTGATATACTTATAAGTTTATATTATATATTGGGAATGTTTAGTGGGATAATTTACTCGAAGATGTACCTGATACAATGTCACAATAAATCGCATTTTTCGTTAAATTTTTATTTGTATGAATAACACAGCAACGCGCGATCCGGGCATTACTAGTATAGTATAAATTTTTCTCTATCATAATTCAAATTTTTCTAGGGCTTTGGTATGATGTTAATGGAAGAAGCAGAAAAAATTGCAAGAGAAGAGCATTGTAGTACAAAGATTTCGGTAATTTCTGGTGTGGGCACAAGAAATTATTACCGAAAAATGGGCTATGAATTGGATGGACCATATATGTCAAAGAGTTTATATTAGTTTGGCATAAATGATGTATGAATATTATTTAAAGATATGATTTTATTATAATAAACTTGTAAGTTTCGAATAAATACTATATGAATTTGAAAATTACTCTTATATATCCAAATCGTTTAATTATTATTTAATTATATATTTCCGTGAAATTTTTATATACAAAATCATATTTTTTGTCATAATTGCCTGTAAATTAAAATAATATTTGAAAAGTTAACTTTGATTCATGTATTGTCAAGGTACTTCACCTAGATAAATATTTTATTCTATAATGAACAATTACCTTGAATGAATGAATTAGAAATTTTTGGGAAAAAGAAGTCTAGCGGTTTCAGAATTCGAGTAAAAAAAGTAACAAACAATACCATTTGGTGGTTCAAAATGATTGTTGGACATATTCATATCAAATTATCAGACATTTTATAGAGAGTATAAAATTAGTTTATATTTCTATGGGTTCCTTAACGTTGTTGCGCGATGATGATCATAGGGCTTTCTGCATCAGCAGCTGATAGATATTTTAAATGCGCATTTCACTCATAAACATGATAGTCAGCCCTATCTTGAAAAGTTTCCGAGTTATAGACGTTTAACCGTTTGAAACCTAATAATTTGAAACAGTTTTTGGCGAATATCTTGCGAACAGTGAGAGTTATCATAAAAATTCTTGTACAAGGTTTGATGATTTGCCAACATTTTTGAAACGATTTAAAGCATTATCAGACAACTTACTACATTTTTTTCAACCATTCACAACATTTTCAAGGCATTGGCAATATTTAATCAACAAATGTTGAGACATTTGACAACATTTTCAAGACGATTTAAAGCATTATCAGACAAACTACAACATTTTTTATCTATTTACAACATTTTCAAGATGATTTAGAGCATTTTCAGATAACCTACAACATTTTTTATTTATTTGCAACATTTTCAAGACTATAGACGATTTGAAGCATTTTGAAACAATCTACAATATTTTTGAACTATTTACAACATTTTCAGACAACCAACAACATTTTCAAGCTGATCTAAAACATTTTCAGATAGCCTGCAACTTTTTTGAACTATTTACAACATTTTCAAGGCGATATAAAGCATTTTCAGATAACCTAGAACATTTTCTAACTATTTACAATATTTTCAAGACGATTTAAAACATTTTCAGATAACCTACAACATTTTTGAACTATTTACAACACTTTCAAGACGATTTAAAGCATTTTCAAACAACCTGCAACATTTTTGCACTATTTACAATATTTTCAAGGCATTGACAACATTTTCTAGACGAAGAACAGTACAGATACAAATTAAATACAATTCAATTGAAATACATGAGAGGTGTGATGAAGTAACAAAGTTTTATATCGGGTTGTTAATATCCTGTTATAATGTCGTTGAATATGAAATATTGAGAATTTGTCCTTTTTTTGTTAAAATCAAATATACCTCTCCTTGACGAATATATTTGTCAATACAAGTTAACTGATTGTATATTCATACTGTGTAATTATTAATTCCATTATTATACTAGCAGCGATTTTTTATTTCTTTCTCTGAAATAGTTTATGGACCTCAGTATTAAGTTTTGTTTGACAAGCTGACTCTCAGCCCAGAAACTGGAAGTTCTGATGAATATATTTGCAGGTCATTTTGAATTTAATCATTCGATAAATTCAGTTTGATTTTGCCGCCACCGCCACCGCCACCGCTCGCTCTCTCGGCTGTCATTGACCGACAAACTAACTGTCAAAAGTCTGTTTCATGTGACGCGCAGATAGATGGCGTTGCAGCCGCACCACTGGCGCCGAAACGATGATTATGTCCTTTCTCTTGCTGGCCGTGATGGAGTGAACTTCGAAAAACAAGATAAAGATGCTGAAGCGGAAAATTCCTCGGTAATTAATTGTATTTTAATATTTCAAGGCAGTGATATAGTGATTATTGTTGTGTATGTTAATTGATTAGTGTGCGACAGTTTAGTGATTGTTGTTTAGTTATTATCATTAGTTAATTAAATTATCGTAGATGCAGTTTTATTAACATTTCAAATTACGCAATGCGACATAACACTGCGCGTTCTTGCTATTTGCAATTGATAAATACGTTTGTAACCAGCGCAAGTTCTTACATTGCGCAACAAATTGGAAATTGTGCAATGTCTTTTTTAATATTGAACAGATTTTGAATAATATCATTTTGAAGTTAGAATGACTTTTGCTGATTCGAATTTACACCATCATCGCGTTGTCATATACAATTCGTCGGTGACATTTTGAATTGGCGGCATAACTAGTAGCGTCATCGCCGGCGACAACGACAATTCGCATTTGGCGCGAATTGATTAGAGAATAGTGATTTCACACAAGATGACATACGATTATTTTTTCTTATATATTTTATATTTTAAGGCCAAAGCTAGTGATAGTATATATTAGCTAAAGTTCAATTGTGTGAATCGTTTAAAATTACGCAATTTTATTACACTCAAAGCACATTAAATCAACACATTAATTTAACTTTTTATTTTCAGGTTTCAAGCGCTGCAGCTATTACGTAAAGCCTGACAATGACACAATAATAATGATGATCTA